TGGATTAATTGCTGAAGTATTCTTCATTTTTACAAAGATTTTTGGCAAAACTGTCTTTAGTCTGGAATGTCAAATGATATACTGTGATCAATTATAAAATTAGATTCAACCGGAGATTACAGTATTGAAATATAAAAAAAAATCGATTGATGAAAGGAAAGAAGAAAAGAGAAAAAAAGGAAAATAAATTGATCGATTAATCGATTGATTTAAGATAAACCAGTTTATTCATCTTTAAAAAGTAAGACTTGCTTATATAACTTCAGATCAATCTGTTAAATAATTAATTTATACTTTCTTTAGATGACTAATTATTTTTTTTTAAAATTTCAGACTGCTGTGGTATCAATTCAATAAGAACATTTAGAGATTACTAATTATTTTTTTCTAGAATTTCAGGCTGCCACGGTATCAATTCGGTAAGGGCGTTTAGAGATTACTAATTATTTTTTTTTAGAATTTTGGGCTGCCGCAATATTGGTAAGAGTATTTAAAGATTATTAATTATTTTTTTTTAGAAATTTGGGCTACCACAATATTAGTTTGGTAAGGCATTTATAAATTATTATATTAAAATAGTAAAATCAATTTTTTCAAAAATTTTATTTAAAGACTTTTAATTCATAATTTATTTGAATAGAGTCCAAAGTATAGGAATAATCTTTTTATGATTTTGGGATCAGATTATTTCTCTCATGTAAGCTTTTTTATATAAATAGATGCAATTTTCAGTGAGATAAAGCTGAATTTTATATATTTATTTTTTTTCTTTTCTTAATACAATTTATAATGAGATAAAGCTGTAAATTTGTATTTTTTTTTTTTTTTTTAAACAATTTTTTTTTAGAAATTAACATTATAACTACTCAATTAATTGGAATTAAAAAAAATAAATCTTCTTTAATTTTAACGAAAGTAAGAGTAATTCTAAATCATTTATACCTTTTAACAGATCCTTTACTTAATAAACGAATGAAAATAATATTATCATGTAATAATGGTAATTTAAGTGAACTTTTTACTTCTATTTTTGTCTCTACTTTTACCTCTGCCTCTACAAATTCTACTTCTATCTCTACACCTATTTTCACCTTTACATCTGTTATTACAGATAAAAATGATCAAAAAACAATAAAAAAATATGAATAAAAAATTAAAGAATTAGATATTGGATTTGTAATTCCTTTAAACATTGAAAATAATATAAAAGGATTACAAAATTTAATTTCAAAATATAATGATAATATTAAAAAATATTCTATAAATAATTATTTTAAGGTAAATAATAACACTAAAATTGTTTTATTTATCAATTTATAAATAATGAATTATATGTGTTAAGTTTAATTATCAAAAATTTTTTTGATAAAAAAAGTTTTTTTTCAGATAAAAGAAATCAAATATTTGAAAAACTTAATACTGAACTTAAATATATTACAAATAATTTTAAAAATATAATTAAAGATTCATTTTCTAATGATGAAAATTTACGTTATATATACATAATATATAGGGTTACATAACAATGAGAGGACATAATAATTATATGTTACTAACTATTGAAGAAAAATGTTGTCATATAGCTAAATTTATATATAATTATATGTTAGATCATTCTTTTAATTTTAAACAAATTAAAGAAAAAGTAATGATCTATATAATTATTTTAAAAATAATATAGAATTTGATATGATAATAGATGTTGGATTAAAACATTTTCAGGAAGTATTAAAATCTGAAAAAACATTTGAATTTTATCTTCATTTAAACAATATATTATTTCCATTGATTATAGATTTAGAATATTTAATTAAAAATTAATTAAAATTAATTTTCTTGAATTATATAATAATTTTAATATAGATTTTTCAGATATTAATGTTAAAACTAATTTATCATTTTTTAAAAGTTTTGCCATAAATTTAAGTATATCAGGAGAAAATGATAAATTAAATTTAATAAGACAAGGTGCTACTGATTCCTATAAAGACAACAATGATTGTAAATATACATTTTATATAATAGTTGTTTTTGGGAATTTTGAAGGTGAAGATTTAGTTTTGAGTAAAATAGGTATTATAGTAGAGGTTAAATGTAATTATATCATTTTATTAAGATCTGTTCTTTTAGAACATTTTAATTTAAATGTTCTAAAAAATAGATTTTTGATAGTTTATTATTTAAAAAAAATCATTTTATAATGAAATTTAAAATTAATAAAATAATTTAAATTTTTAACTATTATAAAATATTTAATTATTATAATATATAAATTTTATAGTTTTAAAATGTTAATTTATTAATAATATTATTTTAAGTCAACTTGAGTCGAGTCAAGTTTAAATTGAGTTTAAATCGAATTGAGTTAAATATTTAATTTGACTTGAATTTGATTTGACTTGCAAATCATCGAGTCAAAAAAATATAAACTCAACTTATCTAACTTGTGAGTTAACTCGATTTATCCAGAACTTTAATGATAACAATATATAAAGATAAAATGAGTGATTGAAATTTTTTTTTTAAAATATATATAGAATAATTGCCAAATTAAGTATCTGCTACGTAAACTCAATACTGAGTTTATTTAAATTCATGCCTTGTTATACATTTATAAATTTGGCTAATTTAAATTAAACAATTGGTTAAGCAAATAAAATCTAATATGTGATAAAAATTACATGGCTAGTTACATATTAACAATTTATTAAATCAGATAAATTTTGACTGTGTAATATATTTATCTTCCTTAGTATATTATTTTTACATTTTCAGATTTTGAATGATCTTTAAGATAGTTTTTGCAACAATCACATTTTATACATTGCGGAATTTAAAAATCAGATGTCATGAATGGTAAACTGCAAGTTGTTAGGCATGACATTCATAAATACTCTCATAATATGCAACTATTTCAAATATCTTCCTTTTTTTTTATTTAGATATAGTATGCGTTTAATAGATGTAGATTCATTATTATCAAAATCACTATAAGAAAAATATTTATATTAAATAAAAAGTTTTTTTTTTATTCGTAATAAAAAGAAATTTATAGTACCTTACACGATATCCTGTAATTATAGTATATATGTTTTGATATCATTTTGGAAATAAAATAAAATACTCTGTGTTAGATTCTCATCTTGACCTGCACGTTTAGATTCTTGTATAAAATTACCTATGTAGTAAAAAGTAATAAGTAAATCATCTTAACTGATACTTCAACCTTTTTAATACACAAATATTAACTTATACTAGATAGGAATGTATAATGTATAACAACATGAATATTAGGCAAATTTATGCCCATCCTAAAGGCATTTATTGCTATCATAACTTTTAGAAGTTGAGATTACCATTAAAGCATAACTTGATCTCTTTCGAAACTTTCAAGACCTTTATGATAAGCACCAATTTCTATTTTTTTAGTTTGTTTTGCAATAAAGATAATAATTTATTGCATATGCTTGAGAAGAACAATAAATTATGCATTTGGCATTGCTAATTTAATCAACAATTTTAACCATTTCCACTAAATTTCTTTCATGGGTACTCTTTTTTTTCACTATATATTCTATTTTTAGACGAAAAACATTTGCACTGTGAATCACATTAAATTTCACAAAATTAATATTGAAATTTTGACAATTATTTCTACATCATCTTAGAAACAAGTGACAGTCAGAAGTAAAATGGAAGTAGATGGAAAAAACTCTTTTAGAAGCCTAGCTTCCCTAATTCAGGCCTAATAAATAATGTAAAAGTTTAGATTAATATATAAAAAAAAGAAACTTATAATTCTTATCTGTAATGATTATATTATAGAATACAATGAACTTCATTAATTACAAATCTAACTCCTATTTCTTCATGAACTTTCGTAACATAATACGAAAACCTTGGTTGAGTATCAGCTTTTCTGACATTATCAATAATATTTTGAGCATTTTACTTGCAATTTCTTAAAAAACTTTCTCTTGATATTCCAAAGATTGCCATATTGTTGCATAAAATCCTGCATATGGGATTCTAACTTTGATTAATTCTTTCTGAAATAAAGATAAAGGTAAGTTAATATTTTTAAATTTAATTAATACAATTGTTAAAACTTATATAATTACTACTTAATCTAAAATTAATGCTTTTAATGGTAAAATCACTACTATCAATTCAGAAAATATCAAACTGAATGCTGTGTAGCAAAAAGTTTTGCCACCTCTTGTTTGAATTAATGCAAAAATATCCTAGCCTTGGGTATATAATTGAATAACTTCTTGCTGATATAAGCAAAATGAAGGAAATTGAAATATGTACTAAAGAATAAATTGCTCTAGAGGGATTATTTAGACAGGTGATTCAAAGTTATCTGATATGATTCATTGATAATTTACATAAACCATTTGATATGTATTTGAGAAAAGAGCGGCAATAGATACATTTAATTATAGTGAAAAAATTTTTGATATAACAAGTGAATGAGGGTGTAAAATCTTCATGTTGTTGTATTCTTTTTTAAAACTGGCGACTATAAGGTATTAATTCTTGACTAAAGTTAAAAGATTCTAAGTTATTTCGTTGATTTAATATTTTTTTACCTTTTTCTTTTTTTTTTTGTTAATTTTTCATTATTACGCTCTCCTATTTGCTTATCTTTCTTGTTATATCTTTATGATATTTTTTTATTATTTTCAGAATAACTTCCTACTTCTGCAGTATAAATACAGTAAATTCTAAAAGATTTGCAATATCCTCATTGTTTTGGATTATAGTCAGTAAATAACGAGCTGCAAATGACTTCCAATAATTGATCAATTTAAGAAGATATATTAGTTTAGTTCTATTGAATGCTTTATAATATAAAGTGAGAATTTTTTTACTAAACCTTGACCTTTTAGTAATTGAAAAACTATAAACAAAACTTGGCAAAATGTTTGTCATTAAGATTCAGTATATGTAATTAAATTAGGTTCTTTCAGTTCAATATCAGGATTAACTTTGATCTAGCAAACCTCTGACCAGCATAAAGAATGATCTCTATAAAGATATTTAACTAATCCCTTTAATTGAACATACTTTAATTCGTTTTCACTAGAGGCATCTATTTTTTTATCAGCTTTCTTTGCATTAGCAGTATAAACGCATCCATTAAAATACTGCATTACTATTTATTCAAAAGAACACTACTATGCACTCTTTACTATAAATAAAATAAGGTAAATTGGTTAATAATAATTATTGATTTATTGAATTTATATTTTTAACAATGCTAACCAATTTTGTTACATATTAATTTTGCAACATGCTTTAAATCAGCAAATATTTGGTTAATTATTGCAACTGTACTAAGTGTTTTATTACTTTTCAAATCTCCATCTATTCTGATATCAAATAGCAGATCAAATTCTTTTAAAACTAGTATGACTTTTTGAAGAATAGCAATTAAAATTGCGTATTCTATTTGTCTGAAGCTTTTGTCATGATTTTCTTTATGTAAAACAATAATTTCGCTATCTTCCTTTTTGCATTTATGTGATTTTTCAATATAATGAAATCCAAGAATAGATCTATAAGAATACCTATCTAATTTTTTTGAAAAAATAAATTCTTCACTAGCCTGGTTTGCATTTCTTATATGTAACCATAATACATCAATAGAGTTCTTTGTAAATTTTAGTTACACATAATAAATAAGTACTTTAAATTAAAGGTATGTAGGATAATTTTGATTCGAAACACGACTTGACTCAACTCATTAGGAACACTATACATTATAGTTTACTGGCATAATTCTTTTTGTTAATTTTCTTTATATATTCACATGCTAATTGAAGAGCTTTGTTTGCACTTTCTTCTGCCTTTTCACAAATTGGATGGAAGATTTTTTTTAATTTTTGTGATGAGATTTTTTGGTAAATTACTGTGTTATTTTAAGTATTATTAAGATCATTTAAGTGATTGATGATTTACTCCTCTGATTAATCTACTATTTGCTACCGCTAAAGAAAAATTTGTCAAAGATTCATTAGAATATTCTGTATATTTTTCACAATTGCATGTAACCAAAATTTTGAAAGTGAATCCTATAGAATGAGCACTATATTAACATTTAGAATCAAGTGTTGTGAAGCATTGTAAACATGATTGAGATAATACTAGTTAGAGGAATTGATATGTATTGATAAGCATAGCAGTACTGATATTTAATTCTTGGATCAAATGTGAAATCTTACTCTCAATATTTTCTTTATTTTCTTATAAGTTAACAACAAAAGGATTCTTTATTTGTTCATATTTATGTTCAGCTAATTTATTTTCTGCATGCTTTAATCTTTTCTTCAGATTATTTTTCTCGTTATATTTTAAAACATATTTACATACAAGTGCTTGCGTTGATCTAAGAGTCATGGGAAGTCCATCAGAATTGACTTAAATACCCGAATTAATGTTTATTGGTGTAGCAGATATTATTGAAGTAGGTGTATTATTTTCCAAAAATAAATTTCTTGCTTTCGTTTCATTTTATTTTTTATTCTATTTGTAGTTACAATTGCATTATGAAAATTTTCAACTTGATTGAATAAATTTGGATATGCCATATTAATTACATCCCTGAGTTGAATTACAATTTCTAAGATATTGAGTCCTAATAATGCAGAATTGAAACACGTTCATCTAAATTAAGATAATTAGCCAACCCATAAAAAAAGTTCCGATGAGAGAATTTGTGTATACAGTTAGTAAGAGAAATATCATCTCCATAATCTTCACATGTGTAAACTAAATTATTGTTACTGTCTTTAGTAATTGTAAGTCGTAAAAAGTTTTTTTTCCAACAAACTATTACTGTATAACTGACTAATAAAGGAACTCAAGTACTTGTAGAATTATTTTTTGGGTGACCATGTACTGTTAAAGCAAGATATGGCGTAGTTGTTGAAGAGCTAGAAATATCAAGTTCGTTGTGTATATTCGAAGTTTATAAGGGTATGGATTTGTCAACTACTATTATGTGGTCATTGGTAACTTTCAAAATGGGGATTTCTTTGGCATAAAACTTGATCCCATTTCCATAAAGACATATCTAAATATTGTACAATAATAACTTAACGAAGAATAAAATAATAGAAAGCATTTTATCGTTTTTAATAAAAAAAAATTTAATTATAAATTTCCCAGTGTTAGACCTGGAACCGTCTCAAACCAAGCTATCAAAATTATTAAACTTAACAACACAATTATCTCAAAGGTCTTTCCTAAGAGAAATTAACGATAAACAAATAAAACAATTTATTATCACGATTCACTTGTGTAGTGGGTTATCACGATCAATCCTATGATGAAGACAAGAAGAAGGTTGAAAGTGTAAAATAGTAACTTTATTTACTTGTAGAGTTATAAGTCTAGTCCCAAGAATTATTCAGAAAACTATCTGATCGAACTCTGTTGACTCAAGGTCTATTTATATAAAATTGTTGACTAATACTATACTTCGCCTTTCTATAAGTACATATTATAAGTAATGAAAAGTAGACTATTTAATATTTATATTAAAAGGTAAACTATTCGATACATGTATTATAAAGTCGATCAAATGATACATGTATTACATATTTAACATGTATGATATTTGGCGCAGCAGTAGATCATTTAAGGCACAGTATAGACTGCGGCTAACACCGGCAATATGGATTCTGAACTTTTATATATAAACTATATCTGACGAATTTTTAGGTTTCGAACTTCTTTTGATATTTTCTTCCAAAGCATAATAGTTAAGTGTATATAAAACTATATATGACGAATTTTTAGGTTTCGAAGAACGAGTAAAAGTGGTTTTTTTTTAATGTTTAGTTTATTTGATTATCGTGTTGATATTGACGCGAAAAGCGCAGAAAATTTTTGATGCTGATCAATTTATTATTAAAATCACGTGACTACACGCTCCCCTTATGATCAATCAAATTCAAGACTAACCTCAACAGTAGGCGTCAAAGAGTTTCCGGTGCGGCGTGACTAATCTAGACCATAACACAAAGATTAACATTGTGGTGATAGCTTTAGGATTAGCAAAAAACTGAATTTTTACTTTAATATTCAATAAATTTTCGTAAAAGGATAAGTTAAAGGAACAGACCACATAAAGACTAAATATTCATTACGATATTTGATATGACACACGAAAACTCTTCTGGTTCTAAACGTCGCACTAAAAGTTTTACGAGCACCATAAACCAAACCTTTACTATTTGTACCTTGATTTAAAGGTTAGAAACATCCGTTCCATTTTCAAAATATATTTTAGGGTTCTTAAAATTTTTGCGCAGAATAATTTTAATGGCAATGGCAACTTTTCTTTATACTTCGCCCATATTCTTTATGCACGCAAATGAATAAAGAGACGAATGAATCAATTCTAGCAAAGCTATGGTGATGTTCGAATTGTTGTAAATTCCGACTGACATGAATAAAAATTGAAAGTGATGAGGATTCACAAGTATGTGTGTTAAAAGTTATGATCAACAACTGTGACATATCTAGGATTGTTATTAACAGACCAGTATTTTTGAGTTAGTTTTGACATTTCGACAAGTTCGAAAATAATTTTATTGATAGTGTCTGAAACTGCTAAACATGGCAAAAGGTTTCTTTGTATATTAAGTATCTGCAACGATTTCATTCTGATTTGTAGAGATCTGGATAAATATTCTTATGTATTTGAGAACAAGAAGTTGTTCTAATGAAAATTGTATTTTGTGTCTTTATCTATATGATGAAGTAGTAGAAGTAAGCATCTGGTGAAACTATCTTTGAATATGGTTGCTTTAGAAAGTAGGTATAATTGATAGGAAAGGAGTGTATTTCAAAATCTAATAATATATGTGAAATAATAGCATCTCGTGTATTACTTTACAATAGCAATGGACTTGAAACTATCAAAATATCCAGTTAATTATAAAAATATGTTTTTAATCATATAGAAATTAAGATAAATGAGACTTTATATCGTATTTTAATAAATATTGGTGTTCTGGTGGTGGTGTATCCACAAAAAAAATGTTATTTGCGGACGTTGTTGATCGGCGCTGCGCCTCCGATAAATGTTATGTTGTCGAAAAAGCCGAGTTATATTTAC